TTTTTTTTTTGAAACGGAATGGCACAAAAGTCATTCTTAGTTTCGGGCCGTCGCTATATACACAAACCTAGAGAATCCTAGAGATATGTTATGAATACAATGGAATGCATGAAATATATCCTAAAGTATGCGGACCAGTCCTTTGTCAATCAAGAATCTCTCGGGTATGGTTCAACCCAAGACAGGTTGCCAGCTGGCCAACTGCTTCAAGCATTTCCAGCTGGAGAAAATGGCCGGCCAATAATTTTCTGGTTTTGGGTCCTGTTTCTGGTGCTAGTTGGTTGTCGCTGCCAGGTCTTTTGCGGGCTTCAATACACTAATGAACGTCGAGGTGCTTTGTATGGCGACCAGCGATAATGCAGTGTCAGCGAGATGATTAAAATAGCAGATACAACCTGCATCTGCAAGGCCTCAACGAGCAGCTCGACTTACGTCAATCTGCTCAAGCTGTCAGCACCGGCCTTTACTATCGACAAAAGCAAATTTTTCAACTTGAAACAGTTCTCCAGCACTCTGCAGGCACTTCATGAAATTGTTGGAATTCATCTATCCTCCCTCAAACAGTCATGGAAGTGGAATATACGTCATATATTGTTATAAAGTATATAAATCCAAAGAAAACCCCCAGATCTTGCTTATCCTTACTCCAACAGCATGGCACAACCAAACACGCAACACTTATTCAAGCTTTGAAGCCCCTGAAAAGGTCACTGGTATCGTCGCTGTGAGCAAAGAGAGCAGCATCTTCCGGGCCAGCCGCTCGATCTGCGAAGCCGCAATGCCAACCACCAACATTGCTGCGGTTTCAAATGAAAGGTCTGCTTCCAGTCACAAATAAAGCAGTCAGCGTTGAAGACCAGAAACGGAACATGCAACAGAACTGGAAGTCGCAAGTACACTCTTGAGAAAGGCACCTAACGTGCAAGCAAAATATCGTCATAGAGAATTAAGTCTATATACTGTAATTAGGAAGAAGGAAGCCTTAAGCAGGAAACCCAATTGACTCCGTACTTGATCCTTGGACTGTCATCTCTGTTATGTGGCTTTAAATTCGTCGGAGTTGCCCTGCCTCCCAAGCCCTGCACTGTGGCCTATAGGGTTGAGTCCTGGGTGTCAAAAGGCTACTGCGATTGTGGAACAGCATGGCAAACAAATATATTTTTATATAGCAAATGGCTCCAGGACAAATCAAAGAATGCAGAAAAGCATAGAAAACAGATGAAACAAGAACAAGAACTAGACAAATGGCAAAGGCTCAAATAAAGAACATGTCTCGGCATCTCCACTTCATCACTCTTGGATAGTGCCTTAGGTGACTCTGCCACACCATCCAAAGCTGGGTACATAAGCAGCTTCCTAAGTCAATCCCACAAACTCATGTAGATGTGAATCATATACAGTAAGTATTGACTAAAGTCAAGAGCATGAAGGATAGAAAATGCAATGTGATGACAATGGATTTCGGCAAACCTGTGTAGCGCATGATAGCGAATCAATGGTGCAAACTGATTCAACATTCTTGCGCAACACAGTCTCGTGGCTGCTGCAATGACACAATGCGCAGGACAATCCATACCACAAAGTGCGAGTATCACACACCATGGTTTGAGCTTGGTAGCGTGTAGAGCAGTTGTGCTGCCACTATGCCGATGTCTTCTGCAACCGAAGACGTGGTCTGTTCCGACTCACAATTCTGATCGGTTTGCAGCTCAGTGGCAACGCGATACCAACTGCCAGTTCCTACGGCAAAGCACACCAGGATTGCAGCTGAGATGACCAACCAGTCCAGTGCAAAGCCCGGCATGAATGGCATCAAGAGATCCTCAAGAATGATCGGCGATGTCTAACCGCTTGGTCATTGTTTTCGTTTTCAATCAAGATTGCTGATATTTGTCCATTTCACTCTTCACGGGTCTGTAGTTAGGCTGTAGGAGGGCTACTGAGCTACTGCTATAATAAGGGCATTGAGCTCATCAATGCCCGAGTGCTATAGAATCTCACTGAGGAGGAATAGAGTTTCGCAATTTTGATGTACATTTCTATAATTATGTACTATATAGATGGGCACAGCGAGCATCAATGATTGCCTTCTTCTGTCAAGAATCGCCACCTTCGTCGAAAGGCTTCAACCGGAAGGCAATTAAATAGTTCCCAAATAAAGAAGTGAATCCAGGAAGGAAGACGTTTGTCCCAACCACCACTGAAATCAATGGCTCCTGCAAAGTTCAGGATGAAGCTTTAAACTTGAAAGAATCACTGACGGGGTCTGTGCTTTTGTTCAGCAACCACAAGAGCCAAGAACACCAGAGATCTGTTAGAATGAAGGAACATGGCCATGGCTCCTTTACAACTGCCAGGATCAACATCAAAATGAGAGGTATAATGCTCGAAGCCATGTGAATTGTCATCAGCCCAGGTGAAAGGCCAAATTGCCTGCCACTAATAGTGTGGCTTTCAGAATGCACAATGCTTTTTTGCTGTTGCATTTCCTGCGTCAATGATGGCATCTTTGAATACAGCAGGGGGCATATGAACAAATCTGGCTAACAAACATCTTGATCCGCTACACATAATTACGCATATGGAGCCTTTACCATGGTGAGTCACCTTGAAAAGGGCTTACAAATGGCTTTAATGCAATTATTATCATCCGAATTTGCAGCAAATGTGGCAGTGAAGCGAAAGTCCAAGTGTGACAAAGCCTGCAATTACAGGGTGTGGAATGGTATGGACGGGCAGTCCCTGGAGTCTCCGTCCTAACTGATTGCAAAGGCTGATCGAATCTTGTAGCTAACATCGGGGTCGGAATCTGGAAACGTCTGCAATGTCTTTGCCGACATGTCTTCGTCTCTGATAACAACGGGCAGTTTGAAGTTGGCAACAACCCCCTTGCCTCAGCAAGCAATCGGTGGATATGCTGCTGCCACTACCACCCCCTTGTGCGAAGCCTACCACCAAATCTGAAGATTGCAAGAACCACTGGAGGTTGTAATGCAGCTGTTTGAAGGTATCGGTTTGCATCACAGCAGACCTTGGTAGTAGGAAATGGAGCTTGGAAACACCGTGCCCAAGCTACAACACCTTGCGTGGATAGAAGCTAAGTGACACCACGATGCTGGACACGGTGGCAAATGCCATGAGCTGATTGATCAGAACTGAGCTTTGTTTCCTGAGCAGAATTGGGCTCTGGTGGGCTCGTGGATTCCATGGGTCAGTGGATCCGTCATTCTCTGTAAGTCTGATGCTACAGAGGGCATCAGAAGGTATCAGCATCTCTCACTGGTGTTTTTGCAATGTCAAACGGCTCTTCCGATCAGACCCTTGACAGGTCTAGCGTGTAGGGGCGATTCACCCATTGACCAATCAGAATGCGAACATGACTCGATATCCGCCGATATCCTCAATATGCTCGCAGCAAAGACGTATTCTCATGGGGTCATAGGATGTTATTTATTCTTATTTATTAGTTATTTATAGAAAGTTTAATGGATTCAATCGAGGGCAAACCAATTCTTTGTCGGCAATGTTGCAAAATACGAATCTGCTTGGTTGCTGCATCGAAAGAGAACACACCTGCGTATCACTTGGCGCCAAGTCTCTTCTGACCAGTGGCTGTCAAAGCGCTTGCGACTGCTGAAAAGAACAACCATGTATCCTATCTGCGCAAATCAGGAAAACGCATCCCAGCTCTCTATCAGGAGAGGACAAGCAAGGAAGTATAGTCAATGCCCAGTATGGCATGAGATGATGAGGCGTTCAAAGCAAAGGAACATGATCTCGGAAAGTCAGAATAAGTCAAAACTATTGGTCTGCGCCGTTGTCATCCTCTTTCGTTCTACGGAGTTTCAGGACACTGCAGATTTAGGAGCCTAGAATTGGATGAATATTGGATTGGTGCCAGTTGCCCTGGTTTGGAGAAACTCTAAACACACAAAATAAAGTGAAGGGAATGCAATAGCTTTGACCAAAAACCGTCTATATCAGTGACTAAGAGGAACTCTTCGCACTTCATGTAATACATTATGCAGTTGCATTTGCTCATGCCTCCCCGCTCAGCGCTAGCACTTGTCGGCTGTCCTTCACAACGTAGTACGTCAGTGCCCGAATCAAGCCAAAGACAGAGTCCTTGTCACAACTTCTGAAGGGTCTGTGCTCTTCATCACACGATGAAACCGCAAAATTGTGCACTGCGATACCTGATAGCAATCTGAAAGGGAAACTTGTTGGTTCACCTTCCGCGTCTGGCTTCATGCTTTGGTAACTCAAAGCATTCTCATGAGCCTCAGCTGGACCTGTTGAGTTTGATCCTGCTTGAAGTTTGAAACACAGTTTGATCATATTTCCTTCGTTCTGTCTGCGACTCACAGGTGTTTCTCCACTCTCTTTTCAACGGAGCAGAACATGGCAAGTCTCAGAACATGGAGCACAACTCAACGGGTTGCCGTCAGCTGTGCCATACTTTTCGGAACACTTCCAGCACCTCATCAATCTCACGGAGTCGCAACAGGTCACCGAAAGCTTCGTATCAATCCCGTTTTTTTCTTTGACAGGCTTTGCTTGAACATTTTGCACAGTGGAAGCTCATCGGAAAATCCTGCATTGACCTTGAACTCATTCAAGTAGATAGAACATGGAAAAACGCCCGGGAAGCTTGACTTTTTGAACTGAGGCACCCATCATCCTTATACCCCGTGCGGCACATCGAACTAAACACCATCTGCGATCGCTTTGAATGGTCAACACCTCAAAATAAACAGAAACGTAAACAAGATGAAGAACAACATCTCATTTGACTCATGTGAACAAAAAGCACATCGCATGCATGATGCTCAAGAGTTCCAATGTGTCAGACTCCAACAATCTTATTCAATCTCTTGCAAGGACCCAACAACAAACTTGCAAGGCTTACATCTGCCACACAGATTGGGCGGTCAAACATGTTCGGGAAGCTCCCTGCAGAATTTGCCTGCTTTTGCTATGTGAGCTTTACGTAGTTTAATTGGTTTCCTCTGCCGTGCCTGCCTGGCAAACTCTTTATTTCACCACCAGGACAAGCCGAAGGATTTGGACAATAAGTCGACGAAGATAGATTCCACCAATCGACCTACAGCTGAGATTCTCAAATCTAACCTTTTGATAGAAACCCGCCACTAGAGCTTAACCTGTAGCTGGCTATTTATTAACTCGAAAGCCCAATGAACACTCAATGAACATGAACAAAACATGACAGAACCCCAAAAGTTGCACTCCTTACTTCTGGGGCAAGCCACTGGTCACTTGGGGAAGGTTCTTCCGCAAGTCTAACATACAAACACCAGGCCTAGAGATGGCCAAACGAATTACACTGATCTTCTAAATACAAATTCTGAAAGAGAATCTAGGCGCTGCGCCGTCATTCCCAGCGGCATCTTCAACCCTGTGGACAGGCACCACTCTGCCTGCGAAAGCATCCAATTTTATCTTGCAAGACCACTGAGACCCCCCAAAAGCCCAAAGGCGAGGTGCCACGAGATGCCGAGAATTTCTGGATCTTATCCGATGATGTGAGAACATGTTGCGCCGCTACAAGCGAAAACAACTGGTTAATTATTTATGAGAAGAAAACAACAAACGTCAACAGCATGCAACAACTACGCAGCTCCAGCTGTCTGACCGCCCTGAAGATCCCCTGAATGGTCATTTCTTGCCCCCTCTCAACTTGTTTCAACTTGACCGATCGGACTTTGCAAAGGCTGCCTTCTCTGGGCATTGTTCGCACAAGGCATTGACAGCATCGACCAAGCGGGTCGTGCCCGCAGGGCATTCGAAACCTCACAACTCATCAATGTTCTTTGAAACCTCTTAGGAGCAAGGACGCTACCAGGGGCTCCTGGCATCGCTACTAGGAGCAAGGACGCTACTGGGGGCTCCTGGCATCTCTACTAGGAGCAAGGACGCTACAAAAAGTGTGGGTCCTCGTTGTCCTCGTCCCAACATGAAACTCAACATTTGTACGGCGTTCCAGGACAAGTTGCATCCTACGATGGAGGACCGGGTGGACGATCGTTCTCCGCGCCCCGCGCCCCAGGGGCAGGACAAATCTCGAACAGAAACTTGAGGTGCCTGCAAAATGTGAGAAACAATGATACAAGGAATAGAGTTCAATGTATCAAGTCTTGCTCTTGGCTTGGAGCTAGCAGCTACAAATTATGTTGTGGGTATATCCGCACTTGGAGCTAGCAGCTAGAAGTTGGATCAGCCTTGGCATGATCTACCTGTCCACCTGTGCAAAATAAAGGAAACGCCCATCAGCAATAACGGCTTCCTACATCTTCCTACACAATTGGGTAGCTTGGTTGGACACTGATCTTACACCACGTCTGCATACCATGATGAACTGCATCCCTGTTTGAACTCCAAACTCCACCCAAAGTACATCACTTGGATAAGTTTCCCTAAAAATCAAACAACCAATCATCAGTGCGAGCGAGCGCTTCTTCAAGGAAGCTCCCCCCGCGTGAGCTATCCTGTCCAGCTACTAGAAGCTAACTAGTCACCATTACTTAATTAAGTAGGCGCCTACTAAATTAAGTAGGAGCGGGCTAAAAAACAGAACATCTCAGCGCGTCAGCTTCAACAGGCCCAACAGGTCGACCAAACAAAAAGAATTGTCTGAAGGTCCAAAGAAAACAAGAAACGACATCTGCCTCCAGTTGACATTCCGACATCTTGTTGCAGCTCATGGCTGTTATGGTGACATCCCCGATGCTCTTGACCTCTTGTCGAAGTTGTTTGAATGTCTCAGTGCCCACAATCTCAATGTGGGACGATACCAGCTTTCCCACCACTGCAACAGTAGCAGAAGTTCCTCCAAGAAACTGTTGTTGCCCATCACCCAGCGATTCGCAACAATTCGATGAACGGACAAGTTGCAGGACACACACAGGTGAGAGTTACAAATGCACTTCACTCAAATGTTTCAGTACATCCACAAACCTTACAGCAAAGCAGCCACACTATATTTAAAACATATGTTTCAGGACGGATCATAAGTGGTTCCTCAAACAAACTTCTAGAGCATTCCGGTGCTTGTACAAGACTGATAACTTACAAAGGAGCTAAAGGGTCAACCACAAAAATAACACACACAACTGTAACTGCACCACGACGACGACAACAACATCAACAACAACAACAGTTACTTCCACTATACTCTTCCTCTGCTTCCACTGCTACTCCTACTGTAAAATCCTGCTTAGTCACTAGTCTCACTTCTAATTCTACTACTATTTCTACTGCTTGTGCTGTTACCCCCAGTACCACGACCACCTCCACGACAACGATGACGACAAGATACGACAACTATGGGCCCAGTCCTCCAAAGCAGCTTCGGAACAAAGCTCCCCCATGAAATTCAGCGCTACCGTTCGTATACAGAGCACCGCCACTTTGGCCTGGCTGTTTTCCAACAAAATAAGCTTGCTTCTCGAAGCGTTCCGCGCTATTTCCATCGGCAACTTGAACAGTCCACCGCTTTTGCAAGGCTCAGCACATGCACTTCATACACTAGGCCGTGTTGTCCACGAGCAACTAAAGCTAAAACATGCGATATCTGTCCGTGCTCACCATGTGAGCTCGTTACCTGAAGTAACTGCGCGGTGCCTGCAGTGCACTCATCGAAGGTAACTGCTGAAGTTACATTCAGCCGAGCTGATTGCACTCGTATCCCTCCTCCACTGCCTGCGCCAAGCAGGACTGTACTATTGCTTTTGTAAAATTTCTTTGACTTTGTGCATCGTGTCGAAACGGTTTCAAGTTTTACTTCATTACGTTCTTGACTTCACTAGCACCTTTTATGACAACGTTTTTCTTTTGGGCAGTAGCTGCTGAAATCTGCTTTAGTTCATGCCCCAGAAGATTGAACCAGATTAACCATTGGTTATGCAGTTTGAACAACTCTGCAAATCGCCATCGATCGCCTATCCTTCTGTTTTGTTAGGTCATTTATGGCCATTTAGTCTTTACAATGAAACTAATCGAATTAATGCAAAGGCCGCAAGGAAATTCTTTGGAGTTTGAGGTGTAAGAATTCACACGTCGTTGCAACGCACATGTTGATTCGGAGTGCGTGAAGTGTCTTTGAACACAATGACTCGTTGATCGACAGAAAGGAGGCTTTGGATTAAAAAGCGGTTGAATTTGACCGCCTTGAAAGCTGTGCAAAGAGAAATGAATGTCGACCTTCACACATCGAATGCTGCTTTTTGACAAACACCTTTGACAAGAATTGTGTTTTCGAATCTCGTTCAAGTATCCTCCCCTGCTCATTGTAGGGTTTTGCTCACCTCTTTCATTTTGTGTCGGAACGGCGTAGACTCGTAGACCAACATCACATGCGTGGAGCAAGGGCACACACTTCTCCACACATGAAATATGTCAGATGTCAATGTTTTTCTTCAAGAGTTATGCAATTATGTAATAGTGATGCATGACAACCACTTTCACCCCGAAGTGTCAATTGCGCCATGGAGAATGAGGATCTACGGTGACCGCGTATGTGTCATCCGCTTCAAAACTATATGAATGTGGCTTGTGTGATGAAAAAGGGTCGTGACTTATTGTGTGATGACGGGACCACTTAATGATATCTGATGTGATGGTTTGTGATGTGGTGAAGTGTATTGCAGCAGCTTGTGAAGTGGTGAGCTATCACGTGTTGCTTTGTGCTATGGCATAATGTGGTATGGTGAGCCGTGAAGCAAATCTGTGGCTACTTTTCTGTCGAAAGCTCTACTCTTACTCTGGGCCACTTTTCTCATCTCCTCTCTAAAAGAATTGTTCTCCGCTACTTTTGGCTACTCTTCTCTGCCACGTGCTAATTGTAGTTATTACTCTTTTCTAGAAGGAAAGCTCTACTTTTGCCTATTTTTTTCAAGCAAAAATTTTGCCAACTCCTACTCTTGGATAGTCGCCGCCATTTTGGCTCCTTGTCTTTGGACATCCTCGCAGTCTTTGCAATGCGTTCAGACTTCTCCGATTCCATTTCCCCATAGAACTGCGGCACAAGCACTCTGGGTAAAGCTCGCGCCCGCCGCCCTGACTGTCTCGGAAGTTCCTCTCTCTTGGAGGGAGTCGCTAAAAAGATTGCGGAGTGCCCAGTCTTGGGGAGCTTGCCTTCTGCACGGCAGCCTTTGAACACAATCTTCCCACTCAAATTGAGATCGCCTTTCCGAAGGGCACAAGCAATTGCAAAAACAAGCAAGACTGAACACATCTACAAAGTTCAAGCGATAAGGACTCAGCCTTCATTCTTGAGATGCTCTAAGGCCAGTTTCAGAAGGCTTGCGTTGAAGGAAAGGGCAAATCATTCACAAAAAGGAACCTCGGGAGAACACTGCGCCACCATCTCTGGATGCCACACAATCTTGGAAGATAGCAGTAGATCTCTCGGTCCTTGAGTCGAGGCAACGCTTGGAGATTACCAAAAAGGGTCAAGCTTGGGCACTTCTTGCATTCATGCAGCTGTTTCCATTCATCCATGAACATGGCACCTGCAGCCGTTTCCATATTAAATTCATTAGCTTGAACTTGAAACATCTTTGGAACTCAGAAAACCATAGAAAACCAAACCTGAAGCCACTCTGAGTTTTTGAACAATAAATTTGCCTCCAAGATCTCCAGTGCACTCTTTAACCTGAAGTTCTGCGTTGTTCTGGTAGATCCTCTCAGCATAAATGCCACCACCCTTGCCTGTTCGCAGCTGTTTGCTCCAACTCAAAGCATCATGCTAAGGCTGTTCAGAATGAATGTTTTGACACGGCATCAGGACATATCATGAAATATCTCCCTCTTTGAGAAACAAGCATCTATATATCCTGTCGGAACTAGACTGAACCCAAAGCTCAGGTGTAGGTTATGCAAGCCATGCCAGGCTTTCTGGCCAGCTTGACAAAGAGCCGCGGCTGGTGCCTCCTTCTCCTAAGGCATGGCATTGCCGTATTTGTAACCTGCCCGAATGCTGCATCATATCTTCACTGGAAAAGAGACCTCCACCGTCACCTGAAGCACGGAAAACAAATCGGTATACTTTGAACAACTGTTGTTTGCTCAAAAGTGGAAGAAAATCAATCAATGATGAAACAAGCCTGAACAAAGGGAATGCAACTCAAAAGGGTTCTGGGATAAGGTTTCTCAGCTTCCCCAAGTCCCATGCTTGCTGAATTATTTCCAACACATGTCAGTCTATTGGATCACTCCTTGAGAAGGAGTTGTTGGTTGCCCAAGATCAGTTCCCCTTCATACCCATCACTCACCCGGTGTTGTCTTCACCAGAAAAGCTTCAAGAATATGCTCTGCAGTCCCTGTGCCCCTGTGGACCATTGAATCGAATCATACTGAATCCATCTTTCATTTTAAGTTGGTGCTTTTTGATTGTATACTCGGATTTTTTTGAACACTTCGGGTGTGTTTGAGGTTTTGTCGAGGCGGTCGGAGCTCTTGATGGGAATCAAATCAAAGCTGGCGGAGGTGTTCAGTGTAATGCTTGTCAGCAAAGGCTTTGGCAAGTGAAAGCAGGGACAAATAGACATCTATGTCACAGACATAGACTATGTCTGCTTTTCCGCTGCTTTTTGCTTTAGTGTTAGCGGGACATTTTAGCGCATTGAAGTCTAAGGATGAGTTCCTGAACAGTCTTGATGGACTAAGTCATGTTACATTCTTCAGTTATTGGTGTTTTTTGTCGAGAACAAACTCAGGCTTCGACTAGTATAACGAACTCTGTATCTGCAAAGCGACCAGAATTGGTCAATGTTCGGCAGAATTGGTTAATGTTTGGCATCGACCAGAAAGCATGCTGTACTTGATAGTACAATATTTTCCTGACCTTTCCTGAAATCTAGGAACCAAATGAATATTGTGAGCCCTTCTTCAAGGAGCTTCCTTGAAGAAGCGTGAGCTATCCTGCATCCTACCAAGGAGCTAACTGAGCCCTAACTTAGTCAAGTAGGCCTAGATTGTGCGTAGTAGGGGGGAAAGCGGGCCTTTTAAAGAACGGAGAGTGTCAACTGGTCACAGGTCTCCATGAGCAAGTCAGTGGAGGGATCTAAATCGAAAACATGGCCGAAGAGCTGGCCTTTGCCGATGCTGAAACAGATGAGGATATCTTTGCTGCTCTGGTGGGACATACAGTGCTTGTTGAGAGCAAGGTGTGGGAGCGGATTGAGCCGTTCTGAGTTCAGATTAGTGCAGTCAGAGTCCACCCAGGATCCAAGGCACGTGTCGGTACACCAGCAATCGGTTCAAAGTTTCAAAGTTTGTACAGATCAAGATTTGTGATGGCCTGAAGTACCAGGGCAAGAACAGCAAAGCTTTTTAGCTTGTCAAGCTTGTGAAGAAGCCTGGGGGTGTCGAGGGCTTTTGAAGAAGCGTTGACCTCTGGAATCTTGCGATGTGGAACTATTGGGGTCCAGAGTTGCAGACCAAGTCCCACGCGTCAGGAAAGCAGTTCAGGCTGGTCTGCTGGGATTGGGATGCGGTTGGATCTGGATTTTGAGAAAGCACCCTGGAATTCTTAGAGCCATGATTAGCTATGAAACATGGGGCACGCTGGCTTTGAACAATGCAAAGTCGTAGGGCAAATGTGGCAATGAACTGTCTACTCGTACAGTATTATAGTAGTTAGTAGTGGTAGTGGTAGTGGTAGTAGTAGTAGTCGTCGTCGTCGTCGTAGTAGTACTTCTACGGTGTCCTACTGTGTCGGTTACTTCATTTTGTCGAGGGGTGGTCCAGCATTCAGCCATGTCAATTGATCATATTCTGACTTGACTATATAGTCTTCCTAACATGTTCCAGCTCCATGCTAGTGAGTCGGAGGGATATCGCATTCAATAATCATGGCAGTAGTAGACAGGGTTCGAGTTCTTCAGCATCACACCAGCTTGCGCAGAAAGATCCTGGTAGTTGCAACTGACCAAAGTGTGCCCTAGTCTGTCCCAGCCTTCAGCCGAGCAGTTTTCAATAGTCACATTGCCTTCGATCTGGCGATACAATTCCACCACGTATATGCCTCCACCATGACCTGCACAAATACATTTCAGCAGCTGATGCCAGCATATCTGTGAGATGCTGGTGAACACTATCATAACCCGCGAGGTTGGCCCAATATACCGACACACCTTGAGACATGTCAAATGCATCATGCATAAATTATACATATTATGGGTTGCAGGCCATCGCTTCTAGGTTGGAGGCCATTGCTATTAGAAACCAAAGAAAAAAGAAAAGGAAGAAAGCTCTAACATATTGTGTTGTGCCTGTCAAAGCCAAAAAGTCACATGACTCTGTCACATGACCGTCATGACTCATGACCGACACGATGGACCGCCAAACGCCGAAAGCCAAGCGACTTGCTTTGAGACTTTCAGCTCCTTGGACCGATAGAGCGAGCAACTTGCTGAACGCAAGTTGGGTCGTCTGTTTTAGGTCCACAGTGGCTCAAGCTGTTTGAGGGACTGCTCGGAATTTGCAACTGTCTTGGCAATTCGCTAAACCAACATCTTTATCTTTTTGGCTTAAGAAACAAGAAATTGAATCAAGGCTCGAAGACCATACACTTCAGGAGGACCCTGTACAGGGTCTTGCCTTTTGTTTTCACCTTCCACAGTCTTTTATGCCTTTTGTTGCTGATCAACGATGCTTGGCATGATGTTCTGGATGCTCCTTGCCCCAAAAGGCCCCTACACCAACACATGCTAGCAACGCATGTGCAAAATCAGCGGCTGCTTCCCAGCACCCTATCTGCTGTTGCAAGTGTTCACCACAAGAACTCTTTACTTCTGTCAACTGAATAAGTCTCAGAAAGTACACGCACCTTGAGCCTGTTCTATTGCAAAGTGGGAAACATGAACAACTAACAAACAACTCACATCGCAGTTCCTGTGTGTTGCAGTTAATTATGGGGAACGCAGACTGAAGGTACTACAAAAGAGAATCTCCAAATTGTAGTAGCAAACTGGCAGCATCATTCTGACCTCTTTGCTGACAAAGTTGCTGCAATCGTTGATCATCAAATTTCCCCCAAACACACCAGCTTGTTCAGCATGTATGGCACCTCCATAGCCTCCAAACAAAAAAGTATTGACAATTGGAAAGACACGGTGTAATCAAGGTCCAACCCATAGCGAGCAACAATAATTACAAAAGAACACAGCCCGCATCCGTTCTGTATCAACCTTTTCTGTCAACAATAAGATGCATGCAAGGAGGGGGACTCAAGCTGTTTATGTTGCAGACCTTTGGAGGGTTCAAAAGGGGAAAATACGAAACACAATAGACCATGGTTCTCCTTTGTCTGTGTTTGCTTGCTTCGTATGTGCTTTATGCCTTTGGCATTGTATCAGTATCAATTGAAACTTTACGCTCGCGAAAGGTATACGAACAAACCAACTCCTTTGCCTGCACTATTTTGTTTGTGCTGCGGGCCGTCGATTGGCAAATATTGTTCCGCTACTATGAGCTCACTGTTTCCATAATTTGTATTGTCAACGCACACTAATCAAAGAACTTCCGCTTGTTTGTTTTGCTCAACTTCTTCCTGCGGCCAACTTTCAAAAATTTGGCACCCAAAGCCCCCCACAATTAGCTTGGCACACCTTGTTCGGTCAACTTTATTGCAATGCTAATGGCCGCTCTTCCCTTTCTTTCTTCACTCCTTTAGTTTCACAAATTGCTCGTGCTGGCTCATTGTTTGGTGATGCCTTTGGCAGCTTGCCGATTCAGTGAGACCGACTTGAACCTACTTGATCCTTTGAATTTCTTCTCCTTAGCCATGTCTCCTTCTCCGCCACCCCTATTGTGTCTCAATGCTCCCTGGACCCAGCTGCCCCAAATTGTCCAGAATCCCACGGCCACCTCCAGATAACCCTTCGTTATTTTTACTTCCCCAATATTTAGGTCACTTTGACACAGGAAAATAACATATCATTGGATCTCTGTGAAGAGACTTAGTCTTTTGAAACCTCTCATGATTCACCCTCCTAAATAGTCAACTGTTTGGTCCCTAGACCTCTGGGGAACGGGGGGAGTCTTAATCCGGTGTCCTCATTATGCAGTTGTGTAGAAAGGTGTTCTTTCTTAGAGAAACAATGATAAACAATGATAAACAGGTTGGTCGCAGTGGCTTGGCTGCCACGGATTGATGAAAGACACTGTCTGTGGAGCCTTGTTGGCCTACTCCTGGTCCAGTTTGGGTCGACGTACAGTCTGACCATCTTCAATACACCAGCCCTGCACAATTGCCACTGCCGCCTTCAGCACCCATAACTACAACAAACATTGGTGATCTCACTTGTTCCGATTGTCGGCAAGGTTTATAGATCACTGCTGATTGCTTTCGAAACCAAACCCTCCTGACGGTGTTTTTTCGCGTTTTTCTGCTGCCTGGGTGGAAACCGGATCCTCTGGCCTCCAGACATGTTTCAAGGCGGCATACACGAAGCTTTGAGTGTGAAACTGAATGCTTAAACAGATCTGAAAGCTACTGCAATTGCTTGAAAAAAAATCGCAAACACCTTGTTTACATTTGTTTATCTTCAGCTGGTTGACAGGGTTCACTACCACAACCATGAACATAGTTTTCCTCCATCACCAGTGAACAGGGGTGACCTGGGCCGATTCTTTTGAGTGTTTCCTGGTGTTTCTTCGCAACGCTCAAAAGCCGTTTGCAGACTACCAATGTGGATGTGCGGTTCCAGAATCTCCGTCTCCTCGATCAGTTTTTTGGCATTGCAAACAATTACCTTTCAACAACCGCGCGTACAGTACTGTACCTCATAGTAGTTGTATAGTAGTTGTAATGCGTTGTAATGTGATTCTCGCAATTCGTGGGATTTTGCCTCCAATATTGTGCAACTCCTTGTTATTCGGTGGTTGTGACTCAACCATTTGTATTGTAAGGGAAGATTTGGGGGTTGATCGATATTTTTTCATCCTGGAATGGCAATTTTTCGCAGAACAAAGATGTCTTGTGCGGCCTCGTTGCGAAGCATGGTCCTACAAGCATGTCTAGCTTACATGAGCCGAAACTATTCATGTTTGTATCACGTTGTATCACAAAACCAATCAAGCAAGGGACTGATATCTTGTAGCGTGACCCCAACAAAGGGTTAAGGGTTTCCACAACTAGTTGGGGTCATGCGACTGCGCGACATCTGTGCGACAAACAATATCCTATGTCCTGGCGGAGGCTTAGAATAGGCTATGACTAGAGTCAAGCATTATTCAACCCAATCCTCGTGCCAGCTACCAACACAGGGTGATGCAGCTTAGGGAATATTGGGGGCCTCAACCTGGGAACCTGGACTTTCGCGGCGCATTTGCGAAGCTTTTGCAGATCTTTCGCGAAATTTCACTGGCGATTTCCCTGGGAAGGCGTAAAACTTGCAAACATCTGCGCAGCCCGTCAAAGCAGCTGCAGGTCGTTGCCTCGCTGTCAGGGCTGTGCCTACTCAGGTTGCTAGTCTGTGACAGTGGCTGACAGTGGGGACAGGAATCGGAGAATCCTTTGCGCACTGCGAGGGCTGGGCAAGGAAATCTTAAGGCTTCAATTCGTTAGTCTGTGACAATGGAGACATGCGGAGACACTTCCGCCCACCGGCTCTGCTGGAGGATTGCCTTGTATTTCTACCATTTGTCGGTCGGTGGAAAGGAAAACATATGAAAACGAACACCTTCGATAAATCTTTTGCAAAAAAAACACACTATATTTTCGCGAATCTTTCGTGGATGATTTTAACAACATCTGAATGACTATTCTATATAAAACTCCTTAGACGGGGTTTTAGATCAACTCCCATTTGCACTGCACTTGAAACCCAACTCAAGCGCTTCTGTTCCTGCTATGCAGTGGTGTCCTTTGAATGCAGGACGCCCAGCATCAACCACAAAACACAACGATTGAAACCAAGTTGCTGAAGATGCTGTGATTGTGACGTTCCCGCCAGATTGCATGTATTTCCCCGCAGCAATGGCACCACCAAAACCACCTCCAGTAGCAGCATGGTTGTAGCTGAGATTTGGGTGCAACACCGCACCCGACAACATGCTCAAAGCGTTGCCTGCATCGGATCACAAAGAAAGAACTATAGCATGTTGCTGCCAATTGAAGACCTTTCTGTCCCCACCAGCCCTCCACCTCCTTTTAAAGCTTCTGCTCTGCAGTGCTGAATCAGCAGAACCCCCTCGCTGATGTCAACCTTCCAGGCCGAAATAGCTCCACCCTCACCTGCGCAAGCTGACGCAAGCTGCATCTAAAACAGTTGCCAACCCCAGAGCCATGGGGCCCTTGGTACTCGGTGCCAATGAGTCTGAAAGGAAACACCGGATCCATGCTTGACATGACACCAATGCATTCTGGTATGCATACCGTATGGGTGTCAGAACAGCTCACAAGACTTTAACTTCATCGTTTGGCTGGATGTGACTTCTACGACGCCGCCTGGATGATCAACTCCTCTCACAGAGCAATGCTTTAGAATCAAAGTGCCGCCAAATACGTCGAAGCGGCGCGCTGCAATGGCACCCCCTCCCCTTGCTGCCACAGCTGCTCCTGGTTGCTCCAGTATTGGAACTCACAAAAGAGATTGAAAAAAGAAGGTAAAGACCCCCTGAATAAAGAACCTTTAGAGGAGGCTCCTTTTCAAAGGGGGCCAAAGCAACCCTTATATATAACTTCATTTCTTTACTGGCAAACGAGTTGTCAGTCCTATTTCCGTCTCAACGTCCGAGAAGTCAATGTCATCACCTCCTGAGCTGCGAGCTGCACGGGCTGGATCCTGCCCCGGTGAAAGCCATTTAAATCCTCCCTACAAGCAATGGCCTCCACCCTGGTAGCGATGGCCTCCAACCCAATAGCGATGGCCTCCAACTTACAAGCAATCCTGCCCCAGTGTTCCTTGCATCCTGCCTTGCCCATTGATGATTGCTTCGCAATTCTCGATCTGCAAAGAACCACCTTTGAAGCTGAATTCATCTGCCCAAATAGCTCCTTGCAGGGGGTCTAGAATGTTTTTTGACTCCAAGAAAGCGCATCTATCACCGTTGTTTGATATCTTTGATCAGCTGAATATACAGGTTGGAGATATGCACACTGAAGCTAAAACTTGAGCTGGAGAAATGAATCAGCCTTCTGAACTGAATGGCAAAATCATCGAGTTTGGTTTGCAAGCCGAAACATACGAGTCATACGTCAGGTTGCTACGAGAATTTCTGACATTTGTGCCTCTGCACACTTACAAACTAAGGCACTCACAGGTGCACTGCACTCACTACACTTCACAACGCAAGCAAGAATCTTGCCTCCTGGGCCATGGGCTCTGCAGTGCTGGATGACAATCTGGCCACCCGTCTGTTGAAAGTGATCAGCTTGAATAGCTCCACCCGAGGTGAAATCTCTCCAATGGCCTGCGACAACAGTGCTGGTAGAATTGAGCCACACAGGTTGACCTCCCAAACAGCACAGTGCAGCTCGACAAAGCTCAATATACCGTGTTAGTATTTTGTTGCATTGCCAGAAGCTACATATGGTCACATCTCGATAAACACATCCACCAGTTCACCCTCTTAACGTCAGTTCAACAATCATCGGCCTGCAACTGTGCTGCTGTTCTGAATTGTCAAGATGCCCTGAGTCATATTGAACTCATTTGCATTGATGGCACCTGTGGCACACTGGCCAGACTGGCCAGACCACGACAATGCCTGGTCTAGTAAACATGCATTTGATTTGTTGATATATGCAGGCAGGACGGTGTTCAACTGTAGCTAATCCAAGCATAAACATACAGTACAATGAGGACATATCAAAGTCAATCAACTCTCTTCGCTGCACTTGTGTAGATTTGCACCTCCATCAGGACCTTCGCAATCACTGATGGACAAATTTCCGTTGATAATAAGAACACCCTTCACTGTGATGCAGGTGAAACCAGTTGCGACCGCCACAATCATCAGGTTGCCTTCAATCTCCAAGTACCTTAGCGAGTCTCAGCAAAATTGCCAATCACAAAAAACACACCGACACCCATACCCTGCATATCCCGACTGTGTTCCAATTGTTCAAAAGTAAGCATATTCATGTATGTCTACAAATGTGTGTGTTCATCTTGCAGTATGCAGCATGCATAAACAACATTAAGTTGTCAGCGATCACCTAAAATATCTGAAGTGCAACGGAAACTCAGCACAAGACAGAGGTGATGAGAACGATCATGAATCGCCACAGCAATCACAGCAACAGGTCAAATTCAAGTATTAAAAAGCTATGTATTTGAGAACAACCCACCTTGTGTACAACGACTTGTTTGCCAAACGTACATAGAATCTTGGCGCTTGTTTGATGTTCTCATACAAATGCTAAGCCTTTCTTTGCTCAGCATGAAATGTTCGGAAGTGTCATACTGTTACGCATACGAGCCGTTGCGTGATGCAGAAGCGTCCCTAGGAAAACATGGAAGGTAAATCAACTTTGATATTCTACTGCTACTGCAAGCGAGAAAATCACTGACTGTGTTCACATGCTACTATTTGTCCATCACCAAGTCCACGTCGCATGTGGCACGAATTGTTTCGTGAGATGCAGCCATGATAAACCACGCCAACAAGTGCAATTTCAAAGTGAAATAATGATGCAACCATGAAACTTATGTGAGCATGTGCAAATGATCCGTGAAATAATTTGTACCACTGTACCGTCCTACCATTGTATAGGATGCTCTTGGTGACTTTTGGTGTCACTTCCGGGCATGCAACAGCTTGACACAGTGATGATTAGTGACGATTAAAAAAAACATTCTTAATACGGATCAATGGCATTTGAGATTGTATTGTAGCCACGTGTCAGTGTGTGACGACAAATCGGGTGAAACGATAAGGGTTTGTGATCACGTGATGGTTTGTACCTAATTGTACAAGGCAAAAGAACAGAAAGAGCGAGAAGGGCAAGGGAAAAACAAAAAGAATATGACGAACCAAAGAGACACAAAGCAAAGAACAGGACAAGAAGAAGAGGGAACAAAAAGACAAGGGGAAAGGAACAACAAAAGAAACATTAATAGGACAACAATAGCAACATTATACAACATTGGAGAGGAAACATGTATGTTGCATGGGATCAACAGCCTGCTTGCAACTGTAACGGCTATCATGTTGTTGTCGTTTGGAAACCCCTCAAAAGACTGTCTTGGACGCTAATGCTTGGTGTTAGAAAAAGGCTTTCCAGACTTCGACAAGCAGCTACTGCAGAGGCGAAGCATGGCACCACAAAACACCATCAATGGAAGCTAGTAATACATCATCGACCCTCGCTTGCGGTGTTGCTTACTTTTGTCGCTTCGTCGGGGAAGTACTGCAATGCATTTCTCAGCGCAAGGTAGAGCCGGCCCACACCCGGCCCAAGCAGAGTCAGGTCCTTCTTGTCACACAGTGAGGTGGCTTTTTTGATCCTTGTTGAATGGCGTGAGTTTGCGTGGATCTTCATCTCTATGTTGTTTGTGAATTACAACCCTACCGTGGCGCTGGCTCAGCCTTCGGAACAACAAACACAGAACATCTGAAACGCATCAGGAGCCACGGGAAAGAGTTATGTCTGTATATATATATATCATATTATGATATTTTATTTATATAATATATATTATATGATGATATTTTATTTATTATATATACTTTCAGAATTTTATATGCCTACTTGGAATGCAGAGTCTGCAGAGTGGTCATAAAGCCTTTGGCCCGCCTCACAAACTGCGCTACAAAACGTTCCACATTATGCTTCTAACTGGCAAAGGACCCTGGATTTGGCGCGGCCTGGCTTCAAACTCAGTGCAGTCTGGAGGCGGTACATCGAAAGTCAAACCACCACTCAGATACAAAGTTCCGTTATGAGCTCGTATTTTCCTTCGAGAACTCTGTGTCAAAAACGAAACTGAGACTGCATCTGACATGTTCCAACCGCTCCCTTCAACTTGTTCAGACATATCATGCCTTGAGGCTTCTTAAAGCTGAGAGAAGGAACACATCGGATTGCGACACGTGCATTTCAAACATGTAGCATAATTCACCCACTTTGACCACACCGGAACCTCACCCACGCCAGGGCTGCTCGATCACTCTCTCCTTAAACTCTTGGACAACGCTCCTAGGGTGTATGTCTCTTGTTCTGACCTCTTGAAAGTCTGCCAACCCCACTGAATGTTCATTCCCAACTCCAAATCATTGCCATTGGGATTTCCCCGCCGCGCCCTCTTATATCTTTCTAAGTGTCTCCACGCCACGGAATGTCCTTGTCGCCACCTGAGAAAACTCCAAAGCTGGCAGCAAAACTGTGATTGATTTACAGCTATGGTATTTATTTCGCATTCCACAATAGATCTGCCAAACTCGGCCACACCGACAAAGCAGTTGGGAAACTTGTTGTGTTCAGTCTGTGGGCATTCTTCAGCCAGGTGTTGCGCTCCTCTTGCTTCCAAAGGCACATCTGTGATTCCAGAGCGGATCTCCAATATCTCGTTCAGGTTGGCAGGTCGCGGGTTTCTTCGAGTGTAGTTGTCAGGAAGACTCAGAAGACCTGATTCAGATTGGGCATGGTATCATATTATATATTCCAATGTATTCCAATCATGCTGCAATAGGATCTCATCGGATCTCATACTTTGAACAGCCTCAGGATGACTGTTTACGTACATTGTACACTCATATTCGGGGTGAAGGATCAAACAAATTGATAAGGATCAAAAATTGGATTGTTTTAGGAGATCAAAAAATACTTAATCGCGATCAAAAAATTAATTATCACTTGCGGTGTCAGGTGCAATGCTTTGTGGACCTAGCAGAGCAGATTTCGTGGGTGTAGCAGGTTGCGAAGGTGGAAGTGCAGAAGTTGTTGGTAAACGCAATGCTTTGCGCACGTCTAAATGCAGATTTCGTGGCAGGTGCAGCACTTGGGGAACCTTGAAATGCAGATTTCATGGCAGAGGCAGCATTTTGGGAATGACGACATGTAGATTTCGTCGGCTTTGCTTGGGGCTTCGCTTCTTTAGAGTTTCTTTGGGCTTGGCTTGGAGCTTTCTTGGGGGATTAAAGAAGCGGGAGGGGGTTCGGGGGAGGGCGCAGCGCCTCCCCCCACAATGCAAACAAAGTATAGGCAGCATGCTTCAAAGCAGCAGCGGCATCAGAAGGATAAAGCGATGTAGCAGGAGAGCGAGACAGAGGGAGAGAGGGACAGAAAAAAACAAAGGAGAGAAGCAGCGAGGAAACACAAAGAGAGGAACTACTAGGGCTAGGGCGTATTTGCAGTAACACTGGGGGATCAAGGCGCCAGGGGGGGGCAGGGACTCATCCGCGCACTCAGTTTCGCTCATCTGCGCCGCATCATCTGCGCACACAGATATGTCTCATCTGTGCACACAAGCCTTTCGCTGGACTCTACGAGCACAGGCTTTTTGGTGGCCACTTCAAGCTCCCTGGGAAACACACATGCTCAAAATTTTACCCTCGGGTGGCCCACAAAAGGAATGCTACGTTGCAATGGCTTCTTTCTACCCTAAAATATCCTCGGGTGGCCCACAAAAGGGATGCTACGTTGTAATGGCTCCTTCCCACTCTAAATTTAACCCTCATGTGGCCCACAAAAGGGATGCTGCGTTGCAATGGCTCCTTCCTACTCTAAATTTAACCCTCGTGTCGCCCACAAAAGGGATGCAGCCTCGGACTGGCATCTTCCTACTCTAAATTCTACCCTTGAGTTGCCCACAAAAGGGATGCTGCGTTGCAATGGCTTCTTCCTACTCTAAATTTTACTCTCGGGTTGCCCACAAAAGGAATGCTACGTTGCAATGGCTTCTTTTTACTCTAAATTTTACCCTCGCGTGGCCCCCAAAAGGGATGCTGCGTTGCAATGGCTTCTTCCTACTCTAAACTCTACTCTCGAGTTGCCCACAAAAGGAATGCTACGTTGCAATGGCTTCTTTCTACTCTAAATTTTACCCTCGGGTGGCCCACAAAAGGGATGCTGCGTTGCAATAGCTCCTTCCTACTCTAAATTTTACCCTCGTGTGGCCCACAAAGAGATTTCGTGGCAGGCACAGCACTTGGTGAACCTCGAAGTGCAGATTTCGTGGCAGGCGCAGTATTTGATGCTCACTCTCCCACTCTCACCCTCCCACTTTCACTCACACTCACACTCCCTCACACTCCCACTCTCACTCACACTCACACTCCCTCTCAACCACACTCACTCACACCCACCTTCACTTCATCACCACCATCATCTCTGGACCCCAATGTGTCTAGATCTCTAGACTTTCTGCTTACAGACCTCACACACACACACACTGTTTGGGGTCTCTTGCCGGGATAATTTTTTGATACCTCTCCCCATATTCGGGTAGTTTTGAAATGCACCAAGCAAAGTCCATTTTCTGGACATTAAAAAATTGAGGGGTGGTCACCATCTTTGAGCTGTGCAACAAGCAAAACTACGACGATGGTTGGGGGGAAATGTAGCCTACGGCCGGCCTGTTGAGAGGAGGGTGGGAGTCTGGTCAGCAAGACGCCTAGAGTCCCCTTGTTTTGCCTTGTCCATCTGACTGATAGTCCCCCCGCTTCTTTTAATAATACTATATATGTCTTGCCAGGTGGCTGGAATCTCTCACGGGGAATGATGGTGCTGATGAATCAGGCCTCCACAAAGCACATTCACTTGCTCAATATTTTCCTATCACAACTGATTGCGCATCGCTACTAGGAGCAAGGACGCTACTAGGGGCTCCTGGCCTTACTACTAGGAACAAGGTTCGCTACTAGGAACAAAGGGCATCGCTACGAACGGAGCGATCGGACGCTACTAGGGAGGAAGCACCGCCGGACTGCTCTTCCTCGTTTGGACGGCTGACTGGACTGCTCCAAACACCGGCCTCCAGGTTGGCAAACCTTGACAAAATCCGAAAGGGCGGCTGAGGTTGAACCGCTTTAAACGACGCGTTGAGAAGCCTGTTCAACCTTGGCTCCAGGCGTTCTCCCAGGACACGAGCAAGCGGAATCAGTAGGACAAGCAGAACGCTCATCCTGAAAGTCCCAAGATTGACAGTGGAATGGATCGAACGGCTGAAACAGTGTGAGACATTGTCACTTTGGGAAATTGCCAGGTTCGCTTACAGAGTGTAGTGAGACCAAGGCCTATCATATCAAGTATGTTTCAACATTTCAACCTTTCTTTGGACAGCCTCTCCTCCGCGAACAGTAAATTTGTCACACAACGTTGCGGCTAATCTTAGATTGAGCCACATGGCTGGCCATGCAAAATCTTGCTCCCAACCAGCCCAGTATGTATCACTGCCATACGGGAAGAACAAAGGGGAAGACACTGAGAAATGCAACAAAGAGCTTGCCTGGTGGCCTAGTGTGGGTGCTTTGCTTCACACATTCGCTTTATAGGTTGTCTCCAGTTTGTATGAAACTGGCCTTCAAATGCAACTTACTTTCACAATGGCTGGACTCTCTGCTATTTTTTGTCCAAAAACTTAACGCAACATCTCTTTTAAAGACAATTGAACAAAGCTGAGCGATTTTGCAAAAAAAACATGGACACATCAGGACACCCTTCAATTTTGCTTGTCCTCAGACTCAGTCAGGCATAAAGATCGAAAGTCAGAGTCCAATCCGCACAGGACTGGCATCCCTCACCGCAACGGCCTTGCTGAGATGATAAATGGCAATCTATGTCTTGGACTGACATGGAACCAAAAAAGAACTTCAACTGTTCACTTCACCCCAAAACAATAACCCTTCATAAGTATATACATGTGTGATCATGTGTGTATAGATAATAGATATACATATATGAGTGTATCTGAAAAGTTCGATAGCCCATGTCGCAGCACATGGCTTACCCGAAAGCTTCTGCAGCACTTACGTGACTGCAGTTTTAGCTTATGCGGAGGGGTTGCTTACGCCACTGCTTATACAACCCTACGCCTCTGGAGGTTTTGCTTACGCGCCTCGATATGACAATAAGGTCTCAACGTCGGGCTTACGCCGAATCTTGCGTAGCCCTTACGCGATCACAGTGTTTGCTTGATCGCGCAAGAGGGTTTACCGAATGGATCATATGTACCGCTCGTATAAATTGTATATATATACACACAAATTCGAACGGCCATTGCCTTGAGTAGTGCGATGAAATGTGATCATCAATCATCTGAGTCTCGGACTGTTGCCCCTTGGGCACAAACCTGCGGTGCACTGGTTTTTGAACGTGCACATGTTGTCCTACAGGCCAGTGCCAAAGCAACAAGTTTGGCAATCACTGGACTATGCAGCACTTGCACGCTTTAAAGCCAACGTTCGAACTAACACAGCTAGATGCATTTGTTCAGCCATCTTGGGATACTGCGAGTGATATTTTGCATCAACTAGCTTGCTTTGTGAAGGAGACCCAGCTAGCAGCTAGCTGCTAGTCAGCACCAATCGCAGGAACTTCCCATCCCCAATGTTCTGCGAAATTGGTAACTCATGTTCGAGTGAATGTGTCCTGAAAGCAGAATTGGGAACACAAAGCACACAATGCGTGAATATTATCTGTCAACATCACTGATGTCAATGCAGCAAAAACCCAATGAATATCACCGAATAATTAATAATATGTCACTGTTGCCACCGTCTTTTTCCTCACTCGCCAGCTGCCAGGAGAGGTCGAGAAGGCTTGCCAAGATTGCCTGCCGTCACTTCTCTGGCTGCAACTACAACACTACATCCTAGCAGCAGCAGTGTGAGAAATGCAGCGATGGAAAGGATCAAATGGTGCCTGGCAGTGATGGACTTGCGAGCTGCTCGGGTGGTCAATGCATGTGGTGGCTTTAGTGCAATGGCACAAACTCCATCTTTGCTGAAGTCACGGATCCAACAATCTCTCTTCGTTCCTGATCCCCACTTCCGTGCCACCAAGTCAGCTTTCAAATGATCATCAGATCCATATCCATCAATGTCGTGTGTCCCTGCTGTCTCATAAAGATCTGTGGAAGGTCTAGGTACTCCGTACTCATAGGCACAAGAGATTTCTTTGGTCTTCCTTTCCAGAACCAGGGCCCAGGGTGTATATTGATAAGTACGCCGCCTGGACGAGTACGTCGCCTGCAACCTCCGAGAGGACTCTGAGACAAATTCAGAGTCTGCATCATTTGCGCAGCGCTGCTGCTCCAGCGGTCGGTGCTGCTCGTGTTTCTGAAGGATTTGGCGGATCTTCTTGGGCGTGCACCAACAGAACTTCTTGTGGTTTGGAGCTGGATCTACCAAGATCTGGCCATGTTGATCTACACCACAAAGATGCTGAGATCCATTGGACTCCAAGGTATAGGATGAATTTTCAGGAGTGTGGTAGCGATAGCCATCGAAAAGTGCCCGGCTGTAAGTGATCTGGCCAACGCAAATACAAGGTTCATTTTCTTTTGCACAAAAAAAGGTGCCAGGGCAAATGGATCGCTGCCAAACCGAAAAAGCCGGTGCGGACGCATCATAAGAGGCTGGGGTTGACATGTTGCTGATATTCTGGCTGCAAAGGTTCCAGTCTCTCTCATCTTTGCTGTCTTTGGTGTTGATGCAACTGACGCCAGTTGAGAGGATTGTGCAGTAGCTCCGCTGCCAAGTCGCATCATCCCAAGCCTCCGCCTCCTGCTGAAAGACTTCGGCGGTCCAGAACTCGTAGCTAACCACATGAAGAATAAACAGGACAAAACCGAGCAGTACCAGGACAGATATCAGTCTCGTACATGGGTCCCGCGTACCAACTCCACACATTGCATCCCCATTTCAGTCACGCCTTACAGAAGAAGCCAAAACATACGCGCATAAGCTAGTCTATCAAGTATATGAGTGCGAGTCTTTAGTGGCTGTACAAATCTGTGAACCGGGAATTGAATTTTAGGGCATTCTTCAGGACAAGTTCCATGCTTCTGGTAAATTGAAATGTCACTATGCAGTGCGAGGCAAGCTTTTATGTGCTGTATGACGAACTCTGACAATGACATAATATGACGAGCTGACAAGCCTACAACGGGCAAATATCTGGCCGCGCTAGACTTGCAGAGTGGCTGCTCTCAACTTGGATGCACTCCCCCAGCAATACAAATTATTAGTTCACGCTTACTTAAACACTTCAAAGACTTTGTAGAATGACACAGTTTCAGATCGCGGCAGGGAGCTGCTTTTTTTATTCCAAAATGAGCTGATTTGAGTCTGTAAATCCGGCGAAGGCGATGTCGCTCTCCTGTGGCAGGTGGGGCGGAACTCCAACACTCCCTTCTTAACGCCCACTTTACTCCAGTGTGCTTCACAGCAGGCTCCCTCAACGTGTGCAAGTGACATTAATCCTACCATACTCTTCCTATACTATATACTGGCTGGATTGTTCAACGTGTCAGTTGCAGCCTCACCTAACTACAAACCCAATGGCCTAAGAGAGTGTCTTGTCAAAAAGGCCTTGTGTATGGCTCATTGAGTACTTCAACGGAAAAGGTCTATGTGTGGGTCTATCAGTGTATCCCAACCCTGGTCTCCTTGATGAGAACCTCCACGCGCGACAAGTGGCCAAGTCCTTGTCCTCCAGCCCTTTTACATTCCTGCCAAACGTCGATTGCCAGAAGTGCCGTGCTTACTGACAAAGAACAATATTTATCCGTTAGCTACACCTTGACCTTGAACCAGTCATCCATCTAATCCTAAACACTCTAATTTAAACTGACCTGCACGAACAAACATAAAGGTAACACAATTATCCAACATAAGTACCCGTTTGGACAAACATGGTGTTGCTCATAGCATCTGATGACCTCTGATGGATCGCACCTTGTGATGCTCGGAGAGACCAGAAACAAAATGTTTGTGGATGGCCTGAAGGGAAGTGCAAATCATCTGAAACAGTCCCATCAATGCAGCCGCAACACGTGTATAGTAGTCACAGCGTTGAGGTTCACTTTGCTCTACTATTTGTTTTGGGCGAGTCTGCATCGAGCTGGCGCCTGAGCCATAACCTCAACGGTTGTATTTCGCCGAGGCTGCTGGAACTCTTCCTCAAACGCACTTGCTTGGCTGCCCATCTGTTCAATCCCTGACAAATGTGTTGTCTCACTAAAAGAACTACACGCCCTGAAGTTTACTACTCATGTCAACATAGGATTAATCAACCCCTTCAAGGTCAACAATGTTTGAGATTGGAGGTATTGGAGATCAGATCCCCCCAATAGAGGTGATCACCTGATGGATGGTGGTTGATGGGATTCTGTGTAAACCATGAGGCCTGTGTGAGGGGTACCGTTTGTTAGCTTGAACACCTTAAGATTTTGATAGTTTTAATGAGGGAACATGAAAGAACGTTGCTAGAGAGGTTTTAGGGATTGTGGAACAGAGGTTGCTTGGGAGAACAGTGGCAGCTTAGATTGCAGCTTTAAAACCGACTATATATATATATTTTTGTATATATACTCATGAACTATTCTTCCTTTTCTGGAGCAACTGGGCTTGATTAATGGGGAAGGTTTTTGCCAAGAAATATGGTTATTAGAGGGATGTCAATGTCAATGTGGAATTCAGGTTCCAAAGTAGTTTATTATTGGCGGCTCGAGCTGGGCTTGATTAATCAGGGGAGGTTCCTTAATCCTGTGCACATGACGAGTGAAGCGTCTGTGACATAATTCATGTGTACGTACGTATAATTTCATATATATATAATTATATATATATATATAAGATAGATAGATAGATAGATAGATAGATAGATAGATAGATAGATAGA